CCAGGCGCTGGCGGACAAACACCCCGCGGCCATGTAGCCGCCGATGGACATGGAGGAGAGGAACTCCGTCAAACACAATGAAGTCGGCCGTGGGACAGATGAAAACTCAACGACCAGCGACCTTATAGAGGACGAAACGCCCCGGGGTGCCGACGAAGTAGAAGTGCGCGTCTAGGCCTTTGACTCCACGCTGAAGGAGCCAACTGGGGAAGGGATTACCCACCCATCCCGCGGGCGTCCGCACGATCCCATGGCACGAGCACCATCCGACAGCCAGGATGAATAATAGAAAGTAACACAGTAGCCAAAGTAGCCGACCGGGGAAGGGATAACCACCCTTCCCGCGGGCGCCGGCCAGTAGCCGAGAACGGCGGTGCAGGGATGTCGAAGAGACGGTTCATGCAGGCGAAAGTCGTGAACGCCTACGCGCCCCCGATGGGGCATCATGATAATGTAATGCTATGTGTACGTGGGTGCCCGCGACGGGTCGGCCATACGTGATGATCCAGTTCACGTAGCCCTTCGTGGCATACTTGTCAAAAGGTAGTTGCCCCCGGTCGGGAGCAAAAAGAAAAATGTTCATGACAACTCTCAGCGCCTCGCGGATGCGAGGCCCAACCACACGGGTTCGACACCGAGGACGTAGTTGTCGTAGTGGTCTATGCACGAGGCCTCCAGGAGGCCAACTATCGCGAAGTTATCGTTCTAACACGCCCAAGATGGCCTCCGGATGGCCTGCACTCCCAAAAGGGCTTTAAGAAGCCCAAATCACGGATTTTCCTTAGGTTTTTGGTGCGCTTTAGCGATTCAGCCTTTTGGCATCCCGACGCTCCTAGACGGCCCAAGAGGCCCCTAAGACCGCTCCACGATAGCCGAAGAGGCCTCCAAGAGGGCCCCAAGACGGCCCACGAGGCCCAAAGACGGTGCCTGAGGCGCCCAAGACGGCCCGAGAGGGCCCCAAAACGGAACGCGAACCCAACAGCAGAGTCTTCCGCCCTAAGAGGCCCAGAGAAGGCCCCAAGAGTCCCCAAGTGGTCCGACGAGGCCCCCATGAACCTCCCAAGTGGCCCCAAAAGGCCCCAAGGAGACGTACAAGGGGCCGCAAGATTGCCCAGCAGTGCCCTCGATGCATCAAAACTATCTACAGGAGGCCCCCGGGAGGCTTCCGGATTGCCTCAGTGTGGCCCCAGGCGCCCTCAAGTCGGGCCTCCACGCAGCCCAGACGGCCAATGACGGCTTCGGATTGCAGAACATCGCCTTCCGACTGCCCGGAGAACCCCGACGATGCTCCCAAGGGACCCCAAGAAGCCCCAAGACGCCCCCCCAAGAAGCACTCAAGAGGTGCCTCCAATAGTAAATTGAGGAAGCACGGGGAACCCCCCAGAAGCCCTTCAGATGCCCCCACGAAGACCCAAGAGGTCTCCAAGAGGCCCTCAGGAGGCACGACTATGTCACGCGCCTGTGTTTGATATCGCTGTCCACGATCTTCCAGCGCTCCCCCGGCCTGGGCTAGAACTTAGTTAGTTAGTTAGTTAGTTAGTTAGTTAGTTAGTTAGTTAGTTAGTATGTATGTATGTATGTATGTATGCATGTATGCATGTATGCATGTATGCATGTACACATGTATGCATGTATGCATGTATGCATGTATGCATGTATGCATGTATGCATGTATGCATGTATGCATGTATGCATGTATGCATGTATGCTTGTATGCTTGTATGCATGCATGCATGCAGGTATGCAGGTATGCAGGTATGCAGGTATGCAGGTATGCAGGTATGCATGCATGTGTGTATGTGTGTATGTGTGTGTATGTATGTGTGTATGTATGTATGTATGTATGTATGTATGTATGTATGTATGTGTGTATGTGTGTATGTGTGTATGTGTGTGTATGTGTGTATGTCTGTATGCATGTATGTATGAATGCATGAATGTATGACTGTATGACTGTATGTCTGTATGTTTGTTTGTATGTATGTATGTGCGTGTATGTGTGTATGTATGTATGTATGTATGTCTGTATGTATGTATGTATGTATGTATGTGTGTTTGTAAGTAGGTATGCATGCATGTTAATTGGGTGTTTGTTTGTTTGTATGAATGTATGTATGCATGTATGCATGTATGTATGTATGCATGCATGCATGTATGTATGTATATATATATATGTATATTTATATGTATAGATACATATATATATATGTTTGTATGTATGCATGTATGCATGTACGTATATATGTAAGTATATGAATGTATGTATGCGTATGCATATTCATGTATGCAGATATGTATGTCTGTCTGTCTGCCTGGCTGTCTGTATGCATGTATGCATGCATGTATACTATGTATAGTGTGTATATATATATATATGTTTTTTTATATATATATATATATATATATATATATATGCACACGTATACCACGTTAATGTCCAAAACATTCATCGAATTGAGGAGTCCAAATGCATTGTGCTTCTAGATGACCCGCCAAAGACAGCCAGAATGGTTCCACCCCTCTGCCAGTACACTGCGCTGGGCGGGCCTCTGGATCTGCGCCACAGGCCGCACTGTCAAATGCAGGTCTCGTTGGCTCGGGGAAGACGGGGGCACGTGCTGGCAACCGGACCCCGCCGGGCCCGCGTCCGTAGCCATTGTGGCTCGGGCCGTGGTTGCCCCGCCAACTGGCCACCCGTGGGTGGGTGCGAGGTGGAGGAGGAGGAGGAAGAGGAGGAGGAGGAGGAGTAGGAGGAGGAGGAGGAGGAGGAGCGGGAGGAGGAGGAGGAGGAGGAGGAGGAGGAGGAGGAGGAGGAGGAGGAGGAGGAGGAGCGGGCGCGGCAGGGCGATGCCCGGCGGTGCCGCGCTGGCGACGCCGCTGGCACTTGCGGTCCAGCGCCCTGCCGCGGCGGAGCGGGCCTCGGGCGCCGGCGCGCCATGCCGCGGCGCGCCGCCCACCGCCGCGCCCCTCGCCCGCCCAGCAGCGGTTTTCTGCGGCCTGGGCGCTGCTGGCCGCGGACGGCGCAGGAGTTCAGTGGAGGAAGCTGCACTGATCCCGCTGCGTCTTGCCGCATGGCTCCTTTGCCGAAGACCCAGGGCCCCAGGGAGACCCCTCGAACGAAGAGCTCCCCCAGGCAGAGGGCCCGAGCACGAAGGACCGATGGGGTACTCTTTGAGGGCCAGCGCTGCTCTCGACCCTCGTGCCAGCTCTAAGAGGCGAAGGAGCGGCAGCTCAGCATCCCTGCCCGGGTGTCGCCTTTTTGGGCCACCTGGGAGGCCCCCGTCGCCACGACTGAATCTGCCTCGAAGTCTTGGTCCGAACGCACCCCGGGCGAGGTCCGTTGGGTTCCCACAAAACGCACCCCGAACGCACCCCAAAAGGTACAGTCGGGGCCCCGAAGAAGGAATCCCTTTTCGTTGGGGAGGGGTTCGGTGTTCCTTGATTGGTTTACAGTTTGGCTCAGGTTTTTCTTAGGTTTTTAATTACCTAACAGCTTTTGCTGATAGGTTTCTAGCAGGGTCAAAATAAAGCATCATGACTCCTCAGGGGGGTCTGGGCGGGTGCCGGGGAGGAGAACCGGGAATCGTTTTTCGCCAACAGTCACACACTTCGTGCTCTTCGACCTCCCAGAACTCCATTCCCGGGCCACATTCTGGAGAACCGGGAACAGAGCCGGGCTCGTTTTTCGCCAACAGTCACACACTTCGTGCTCTTCGACCTCCCAGAATTCCATTCCCGGGCCACATTCTGGAGAACCGGGAACAGAGCCGGGCTCGTTTTTCTTCAACAGTCACACACTTCGTGCTCTTCGACCTCCCAGAACTCCATTCCCGGGCTACATTTTGAGTGCCCGGAGCCAACTATAGGCCACTTCGTGCTCTTCGAGTTCCCAGAACTCCATTCCCGGGCCACATTTTGGATGCCCGGAGCCAACTATAGGCTCCACTCCCGGGCCACATTTTGGATGCCCGGAGCCAACTGTAGGCCATTTCGTGCTCTTCAAGTTCCCAGAACTCCATTCCTGGGCATGATGTTGAATGCCCGGAGCCAACTGTAGGCCACTTCGTGTTCTTCTAGTTCCCAGAACTCTATTCCTGGGCCACATTTTGAATGCTGAGGCAGGCTGATGCTGCGGCCGAGGCAGGCTGAGGCTGAGGCAGGCTGAGGCTGAGGCCGAGGCTGAAGGCAGACTGAGGCTGAGGCTGAAGCAGACTGAGGCTGAGGCTGAGGCAGGCTGAGGCTGAGGCTGAAGCAGGCTGATGCTGAGGCAGGCTGAGGCTGAGGCTGAGGCTGATGCAGGCTGAGGCTGAGGCAGGCTGAGGCTGAGGCCGAGGCTGAAGGCAGACTGAGGCTGAGGCTGAAGCAGGCTGAGGCTGAGGCTGAGGCAGGCTGAGGCTGAGGCTGAGGCAGGCTGAGGCTGAGGCTGTGACTGCGACTGCCGTTGCCGCTGCGACTGTCATCGCGAATGCAACTACGACTGCGAGAACAGCAGAATTCTACAACTGGATTTTCATGTGAATCTTAAGGGGAATGCTTTCAGATATGCTTCTACATATCGCTGTTAGGTTGCTTTGCCGGGATAATGGGAAATTGCAGGAATCCAGAGACCCCCAGCAGGTTTACTGTAAGAGAGTCTGTGCGTTGACGCTTGGGTTCAACTCAACAAGGCAAGCATCCGAAGAAAAGATCTCGCCATGGTAGCGGAGCCGTGGTCCCGGCCCTTCCAGTCAACGGGGTCGGGCTCCGCGGCTCCCGCTCCCGCCGGCGGCGCGGAGAGCCCCAGCAGCCCGGGGCGGGCCGCCGGCGCGGGGGCCGCAGCGGGGCCGGCCGGGCCAAGCCCAGGCAGCGGCGACGAGTGGGAGCTCCTCGAGGCCCATCGAGGCTGGAGGAGAGTGGCGAGGCAGCTACGCAAGCTGTTCAGGCTCAGGAGGACCTGGGCGGCGCTGCAATGGGCCAGCACCTGAAGGATTTTACGAAGCTGCGCGCGAACCGCCGCTGAGATGGCGGAGGAGCGCGCGCAGGCTCTAGAGCAGCAGATGATGGCGAGCGCCGAGGAGCTGCATAACCGCCAGCAGAGGGAGAACGATCTCACGGCCGAGGTGCAGCGGCTCGGCCGCGCGGCCGAGGCTAGACCACGGGTGGAAGGGCTTGTGCTGCAGCCTCGAGCTGAGTCGCTCGTGGACACTCGCACGCTGGGCAAGCCGGATGTGTGCGCGGGCGAGGAACACAAGTGGAACGATTGGAAGGTGATCTTCAAGGCGTACTGTGGCGTTGTGAACGCCGATTTGCTGGCAGGGATGCGACTGGCAGAGAGTGCTGACGAGGCCCCAGTTCAGATCGACGACTTCATCGAGGAGAATATGAGGCAGGCCTCGCAGCAGCTGTATTACATCTTGCTCCTCCTCTGCCGGCAGCACCCTCTGACGACGATCTTGAACGCTGGCGAGAATGAGGGCTTCCAGGCTTGGCGCAAGCTGGTCGAATACTACGAACCGAGGGCGAGGTCCCGCATCGCGGGGCAGCTGCTGAACCTCCTGAACTTCTCGTTCACGGGCGACGTCGAGGACCGGCTGGCGCTGTTCGAGCGAGAGCTCCTCAGGTACGAGCAGAGGAGCGGCGAGGCCATCGCGGCCTCTATGAGGATCGGCATCGTCTTTCGGCAGCTCGAGGAAGGCCCTCTACGCCAGCGCCTCTTGCTCAATGCGACCAAGCTGGTGGAGTGGCAGGACTTCCGACGTGAGGTCGCCGACGTCCGCCGTGCCCAGAGCGCCATCGCCCCGGCGCCCGTGCCCATGGATCTGAGTGCGTTCACCAAGGGTGACGGCAAGGGCAAGTCCAAGGGCGACGGCAAAAGCAAGAGCAAGTCCAGTGGCAAGGGCAAGAGCGAGGGCGACAGCAAGGGCAAGTCCAAGTCCGACGGCAAGGGCAAGTCCGGCAGCAAGTCACATGGTCAGCAGCTTGGGCCACTCTGCTGGGGCTGCGGCGGTCGCGGCCGCACCCAGCGCGAATGCCCGAGCAAGCGCAGGGGGGCGTTGGCGAGCATGGGGCAGACGCTGGCTCGCATCAACGCCTCCCAGTCGACGAGTACGACTGTGCCATCGGCGGCCAGCTCTATCTCGACGGCTGCGACTACGATGCTGAGTCCGGCGACGGCGATGTCCGGCGCGAGCTCTCGACAGGTCGCAGCACTCTACCTGAACGACGCAGACGAGCAGGTCAGCTACCCGTTCGCGAACCTCCACTCCCTCATCATCCACGACCCGGGGCCGGACAAGGCGGACGTGGTCGACTCTGCGACCGGCGCGGCCCTGGTCCTGAACATGATCCACGGCAACTCGGATGCGGAGGAGGTCGAGCTCAACGGCATCTTGCGTGTGGGCATCGACTCGTGTTCGGCGGCATCAGTGCTGCCGCGTGGCTCGTGCACGGACTACCCAGTGCACGAGGGCGGCCAGGCGATCTCGTACAAGACCGCCTCTGGCCACTACGTGAACGACGAGGGCGAGAGGCTCCTCGTGGGGGCGATGCCTGGGGCATCCCAGGCACGCGCTGCCAAGTTCAGGGTGGCGGACGTCAGCAAGCCGTTGCTGAGCGTCGCGGAGATGGTCGACTTTGGCCATCGGCTCGTCTTCGACTCGGAGGGCGGGCAGGACATTAGCTACGCGTATCACAAGACCAGCGGAGACGTCGTCAAGTTCTGCCGCAGGAACAATGTCTACGAGATGGGCATGCATGTCGACCCGTACGTGCCGGAGGCCTGCCCGGTCGAGGCGGCAGGCCGCGAGCCTCCCGAGGGCGAGGCCGGCCAGTCAGGCGCGGCTCGCGAGGAGGTCGCGGAAGGCCCGCCGGCGCGGCCAGCGAGGAGGCCCGCAGCGCCGACGGCGGCCGAGCGAGCCGCGCATGAGGTGCTGCACGAGCCCTACAGGGCATGGTGCCGGGAGTGCGTCTCCGGCAGGGGCCTGTCCGCAGGCCATCGGGCGAAGGACCGCCAGGGGTCGGCGCTCGCGGTGGTTGGCATCGACTACGGCTACCTCGGTGAACGAGAGGACGCCACGCCGCTGCTGATCGGGAAGGATTCGAAGCAGCGTTGGTTCCACGCGTCGGTGGTTCCATCCAAGGGGACGCAGCATCCCTGGCCGGCAAAGTCGTGGTCCAGGAGGCTGGCATCTGGCATCGGCTGGCCACAAGCGCTTCGTCTTCCGCTCGGGCGGCGAGGCGCCGCTCGTCGCCCTGAAGACCCGCATCGGGGCCAAGCTCAAGCAGGAGTACGGCATCGAGACGGTGCCCGAGGAGAGCGCGGTCGGCGACTCTCAGGGCAACGGCCTTGCCGAGCACGCGGTGCGCGAGGTCAAGGCCAAGGCGAGGGCGGCGCGGGCGCAGGTGGGCGACCTCCACGGCGTGAGCATTGGCGTCGAGCACCCGGCGACCCCGTGGATGGTCGAGTTCGCAGCCATGTCCATCAACCTGGGCAGGCGGGGCGCGGACGGCCGCACGGCTTGGGAGCTTCGGCACGGCCGCCCCTTCAACAAGGACCTGGCCTGCTTCTCGGGGAAGGTCCTGTACCTCCCAGGGGGCAAGCGCAAGGCTGGGATCGAGGACAAGCTCCTCGCTGGGCTCTACCTGGGGCCCACGCTTCGGACGGGTGAGGTCTACATTGGCACGGAGTTGGGCGCACTGCGGGCCAGGGCCTTCAAGCGGTTGACGGTCGAGCAGCGGGCTGACGAGGACCTGCTGAACAGCCTCGTGGGGAAGCCGCGGGCGCCAGTGCCGACGGACATGGCGGCGGACGAAGTACCGGTGGCCATCGAGATCCGAGCGCCGGCGCCGGCGCCGGTCGCGCCTGTGGGCGCACCTCTGGCGCCCATCCCTGAGGCTGAGGACCTCCCGCCCTGGGCTCCCCGAGTCGGGCGACCACCGGCAGGGCCGCGGGCCGTCTAAAGCAGGAAGACGTCGAGATCGCGAAGTACGGGATCTCCCCGGGCTGCCACGGCTGCGCCGCGATCCTCAACGGCGCCCGGGCGCAGGCTCACTCAGCCGAGCGCCGCGCTCGGATCGAGCAGGCGATGCAGGACGACGAAGAGGCTAAGCAGAGGCTCGAGGATGCCCGCGAGCGGAAGCGGCATCGCACTGACGTCGCCGGGCCTGTGTACCAAGAGGGCGGCTCGTCCGGCAGTGGCGGTCCAGCCCCAGCTCAGCAGGCGCCGCCAGCACCCGAGGCCGCGGCGGCGGCTGACGTGGCCATTGCTCCGGCACCACACGACCCAGGCGACGACAACATGCAGGAGGAGATCGGTGCCCTCCTGCTCTCCCTCGGCTACAGCGGGCGCAAGGCCGACGTGATGGAGGTTTTCTGCCCGAATAGGCTTGTGGGCTTTGCCCCCCTCTTCGGTCTGGTCCGCGGCGGCTCGTTCGCCCTGAGGGTTGGCTGGGGCCTGACCGACCGCCGGCAGCAGCGACAGTGCCGGGAGCTGATCGAGCACTACGAGGTGTATCTCCTCTTGGGCAGTCCTCGCTGCGCGCCGTTCTCCATGCTGAAGTACCTGAACGAGGACTCGGAGAAGCAGCGTGAGGCCTACGCCGTCGGGCACGAGCACTTGAGGTTCGCGATGGAGCTCCACGCGCTGCAGGTGAAGCACGACCGCACGTTCTTGCACGAGCACCCCTGGAGCGCGGACAGCTGGGGCCTGGACATCGTGAAGGACGTGATGGCTCTCCCCGGTGTCGAGGTCGGGCGAGGCGACCAGTGCGTGTTCGGCCTGGTGGTTGCGGACGCGCACGGCGACAGGCTCGCCAAGAAGCCGACAGGATGGATGAGTGATAACAAGGAGGTGTTGGATGAGGTTTGCAAGCGCTGCCCCAATGATACTGGCATTGGCAGCAACCACGAGCATTCCACCTTCGTCGGCCGCAACATGCGCGTGGCGGAGAGGTACCCGGTTAAGCTCCTCCGTGCCATCCTCCGTGGCCTCCGCCGTCACCTTGGGAACAAGAAGGTGCTCGCGCTTTCGGCCCTGGATGCTGGGCCGAACGTGGGCGATGAGGAGATCAGCCTGAAGGGCTTCGTCGGGAGGTGGCGCGACACTCTTAGGACCGAGTTCTACGACGACCTCACCGGCCTACCCGCTGGGCCCCACGCGGGTGAAAGCCGCGAGGCGCCTGGAGATGGATTTCATGGCGCAGCTTGGCGTGTGGGTCTACGCGAGGGAGGGGGGCTGCCAGCGCGAGCTTGGACGGAGGCCTCTCAGTGTGCGCTGGGTCGATATCGACAAGGGCGACACCGACCGGCCGGACTACAGATCCAGGCTCGTCGCGCAGGAGACCAAGGCGCAGAGCACCATCGCCAGGGACGACATCGGCGTGGTGTTTGCGGCGACCCCGCCGCTAGAGTGCCTTCGGCTCATCTGCAGCTGCAGCATGGCGATGTCGAGCGACCCGTCCGAGGGCCGCGTGCTGCGCTTCCTGGACATCTCGCGGGCACATCCGCACTGCGAGATCAAGAGGACGGTCTACATCAAGCTTCCAGAGGAGGATCCGATGATGCAGGAGATTGGTACGCGTGGGCTCTTGCGGATGGCGCTCTACGGGGCGCGCGACGCTGGCCAGAACTTCGAGCTCACGATTGCCGAGGCGGTCATCGGTGCTGGCTGTGACCAGTCGGCCTTCTCGCCTTGCGCGTACTGCCACAAGGACCTACAGGTGAGCTTCTTCCACCACGGCGATGACTTCGTGCTCGAGGGCTCTCGGGGCGGGACGGAGTCGATCCGCGTGGCTCTGAAGACGAAGTTCATTTTGAAGGACAGGGGCGTGCTCGGGCCGGCGCCCACCGACGCGAAGGAGATCACGTGCCTCAACAGGGTAGTGCGCTGGCGAGACCGATGGAGCCAAGGGGGCGAGGCCATCGAGTACGAAGCGGACCCCAGACACGCGCAGATCCTGCACGCACAGCTCGGCATGGACCCCCGCACTACGAAGTCATTGAGCACGCCAGGGCTGAGCCAGAAGCTGACGCCTGAGGTCGAGCGCGAGCTGAACGAGCACGAGGCGGCGGAGTACCGCAGCGTGCGCATGAGGCTGGGCTACTTGGCGCTCGACCGGCCAGAGGTGCAGTTCACGGCCAAGGAGTGCGCTCGCGGCATGCAGATGCCGACAGAGCGACACTTCCGCCTCCTGAAGCGCGCTGGACGCTTCTTGATCGGGGCGCCGCGGGCCATCTGGAAGTGGGGCCGACAGCGGGCGCCCACAGCGATGGACATCTACTCGGACACTGACTGGGCAGGCTGCCCGATCACGCGGAGGAGCACCAGTTCAGTCGTGACCAAATATGGGCAGCACCTGATCGTGACGGCATCGACGACTCAGATCCCCATCTCCATGAGTTCGGGGGAGGCTGAGTTCTACGGCTGTGTGCGAGCGGCCAGCAGGGCCATCGGCATGCAGTCGCTGTGCCATGGCCTAGGCAGGGAAGCGAGCCTTCGCATCTGGAGCGACTCGGCAGCTGCTCTTGGCATCATGCAACGACGAGGCTGCGGCAAAGTCCGACGCCTCGAGACGCCGACGCTGCGGGTGCAGAAGGCGCTCAAGGACGGACGGTTTCAACTGGCCAAGGTTCCCGGGAAGTCGAACCCGGCGGACCTGGGGGCGAAGTTCCTCGACCAGGCGGCGATGCTCCGAGGGCTGAAGACGATGAACGTCGAGCTCTCGGACGCGCTTCTCTCGAGTGCCCTTCAGGCGAAGGTCTGAACCAGAGGCACGAGCGGCCATTTTGGCCTGGCCATTTCGGCCTGCAGTCTTTCGCCCCGCGCTGTCATTGCCTTGGACGGGCTACGGCCGTCAGCGCGGTCATGGCGCGTGCTCTTGATTGCAGTGCTCGACCAACGGCGTGGTCTAGAGCGCTGTGTACTGTCGATGAGTTTCGGAGCTTTTCAGGCTTCGAGTATCGTGCCTGGCTGAGGAGCCGGGCGGCACGAAGGGGGCTGCAGGAATCCAGAGACCCCCAGCAGGTTTACTGTAAGAGAGTCTGTACGTTGACGTTTGGGCTCAACTCATCAAGGCAAGCATCCGAAGAAAAGATCTCGCCAGAAATCGAAGTTTACCTTATGGGAAAAAGGGGCCTCGTTCCTTATTTGTCGTTCCTTAGGTCAACGCCCCGATGGTACTGGCACCTTCTGGCTTCCCCCAGGAGCCGGCGGGGCCCCGCCGGCGCGCCGCGGCGTACCCGAGGCCGCGCACCCGGCCGGCTGCCCTCGACGCCTCTGCACCGCGCCCTGCGCGCGGTGGCTTGTGCGGCCGCGGCCACGGTCGTCAGGGGCAGCGTTCGGGGGGGATGTTCTGTTGCATCTTCGGGGGACCTCGCCTGTCCCCCAAATTGGTGTCTTTTTGGGGGCCCGACGCGGGCTCGATGCGGACTCGACGCGGATTTGGCGTGGATTCGACGCGGCCACGGTCGTCAGGGGCAGCGTTCGGGGGGGGGGGGGGGCGAAGTTCGGGGGGGATGGACTCAAGGATCCCTCGGCACCCAGTCGCCCGTCGATCGCCAACATCAGGGCCTGATAGCCCACCCCGCTCAGGAGCGCGCGGGCTCGCTAGGGGTATCGCCAGGTCCAGGGCGATGCTCCCTCCCCCTGAGTCCGTCGCCCAGCACGGTTGCCCTTGAGGTCGCAGCGGTGCTGGCGTGTACCAGCCCGCTGCCGCGGCCATGGCTCTGGCCCAGCGCCGCCCCCACGGCCGAGTACTGGCTGGTCTGGCTCGGCGCCTCGGCCGCTCTGCAGTGTGCGGCCGTCTGCCTCGCGGCCGAGGCTGCGACGCAGGGCCTGCACTACAGGCGGCGGCTGGTGCTGCTCTGGGCCCACGGCGCCCTCGCGGCCGCGTCCCTTGGACCGCTGGCCTGTGGGGCGGCCCGGGGGCTGCCGCTCTCGGCCGCAGGGCCGCGCACGGTGGCCACGGCCGCGGTGCTCTTCACGGCCTGGGCCTGCGCCAACGGGTCGGGGGCCATCTTCGGGCCGAGGGGGTACCCGGCGCCGGTCAAGTGGTACCTGACCCGGCACTTTGGCTCGCCTGCGCACGGCAAGGCGCTCCTGATCAAGTACCACAGGACGGTCGCCGAAAAAGAGAGAGCAGTGGAAACATCAGCTGTCTGAGCTCCGCGAGGAGTTCTTGCATCGGCGCCGGGCACCCTTGGCGGCGCCTCCGGCGCCGCTCCCTTGATCTCCCCCTGGCGCGCACCGCGCGGCAGGGTGGGGGGTCCAGCGCCGATGTAAGAAGTAAGCGCGTTGCTCCGAAAGTTTATGTTTATCGGCTGGGGAAACCAAGAGATATCGATACCGCTGCTCTCCAGAAGGCAACCTGGTACAATGTCAAGGAGAATCCAGCCGTGGCGACGAGGGCCTCCCAGGAGGCCCAAAAAGGCGAAAGTGTTGGAAGGGAAGCGGCTTCGCTCGGTTACGAATCATGGGGGCCTTATATGTTTTATGCAATTTGTTGAGTGCATTCACGTGCGCTGGCGTGCGGTAGTCTGTGGGAAAGCGCAATTCTTTCACCGTGGATCTAGCGTCGATTAGCGTCGGTCAGTGTCGATTCGTGACAGCCAAGATGGCATGGGAGACTCCCACGAGTTGCCATTGAAGCATCGGTGCCTTTCCCTCCTCTGAAGGACAGTCGGCGCGCTGGCCTACGCGCTCACCACACTGTCCGCGGTGCTGCTGCTGCTGTCCGGCGCGGGCGCCGCCGCCCCTGCGGGGCTGCGGGCGGCCGCGTGCTGCGCGCTCGCGCTCGCCGCCGCGGCGGCGTTGGGGCCCTCGGCGCTGCGGCGCAGGTTCGGGCTGCCCCAGGCTTCGCGGCCAGAAGAATGAGAGGAGGAGGAGGAGGAGGAGGAGGAGGAGGAGGAGGGAGGAGGAGGAGGAGGAGGAGGAGGAGGAGGAGGAGGAGGAGGAGGAGGAGGAGCGGAGGCGGAGGCGGAGGCGGAGGCGGAGGCGGAGGAGGAGGAGGAGGAGGAGGAGGAGGAGGGAGGAGGAGGAGGCGGAGGGGGAGGGGAGGAGGAGGGAGGGGAGGAGGAGGAGGAGGAGGAGGAGGCGGAGGAGGAGGGGGAGGAGAGGAGAGGAGGAGGGAGGAGGAGGAGGAGGAGGAAGGAGGAGGAGTAGGCGGGAGGAGGGAGGGAGGAGGAGGAAGAGGAGGAAGAGGAGGCGGCGGAGGAGGGGGAGGGGTAGAAGCAGGAGCCGAGAGAAGGGAGGCAGGCAGAGAACCAGCAGGCGGAGGAGACGGAGGTGCGGCTAGGGGGGCCCTCCCTCCCTCCTGCTTCCCTTCGGCATCGACTGGCTGCGCTGCGCTGCCCAGGCTGGATCTCCGACGAGATGTTCTTTTCGATCCGGGCGGTTGTCCTCGAGTGCGGCCTCTGGGGTCCGTCACTGGGCCCCGAGGGGCCACTGAAAATGGATCCAGGGCGGACAATTCCCCCGGGGAGCGGGTCGGGACCTCATTGGGGCCACGCAGTGGAAAAGATATCGTCGGATGCTTGGGGTGAGAACTTAGAAGAGGAACCGGGACCGATATTTCCACACTTGCCTCGTTGTCGCCTTTCTGCGCCTCCTGGGAGGCCCTCGTCGTCGCCACGGCTGGATGATCCTCGAAGGTCTTGCCAAAAAGCACCCTGGGAGAGGTTTGGAGAGCAGCGGTATCGTGTCCTTTTGGTCCCCCGAGAGAAAGGGGCGTCACCGACCGCCCGACTCGCCAGCCTCGCCAGGAGGGAGGGGGGGTCAGGAGGAGGAGGAGGTGGAGCGGCTCATCTTCGGTCGAGGAAGCGCAAACGTGGATCAAAAAGCGTGGGCCATCGACGGATCCCGCTTCCACGCAGCATCGACGCGCTCCGTCGCCAAATCGGGCTGCACTGGCTGCGTGCTTCGGGGCGTGCTTCTCCCGATCCGTGTCGGCGTGTTCCCCTCCCGCCCCACGACCCGGGGGGAGTGGCCGCGGCCGCAGCCCCTCCCCCTCGAGGCCACCAGGGGGGGCCAGCCGAGCGGTCGACGGTGTCTTTCCGTCCGCGTGGCGTGCGCGCGCGCGCCAGGTTCACCTGGCCCGCGGCGGCAGCGGCGTGCCGCGCCTCGAGGTCGTGCTGTGAGCCGCGGCGGGCGCTGCCCAGGCCTCAGCCCCGAAGAAGAAAAGCCACATGAACATACGCTGTCGGAGGTCCGCACAGATTTCTCGGTAAGAGCACCAACGCTGGAGATCGCCACGGAACCTTCGGAAACCGTTCAGCCCGAAACCTGGAAACGCTTCCGCCCGACCTCGGGAACCGGACGCCCGACCCCCAGAATTCTTTTCGCTCCCAGACCGGCCCGCCCCGGTCGCCGCCCGAGCCGCCCGCCCGTCAGGGTCCATCCGCCCAACTGGCTAGGCACCCTCCTAGGGTTAAGGGTCTTTTTCCGTCAATCGGATGAGTCAATGTGAACCGGCGGGGGTTTCTTTAAGTCTGCAAGAGTTCCCTCAACTCACAAATTTACCATGCACACCCCAGATCAAAACGACAGTGAAGCAACTATGTTATCAATAACGCGAGCGTGGAAACATCGAGAGCAATGCCTGCAGAAAACGCAGTACCATGAGCAAGCAAACAGCACTTCATCATCATGACCCATCGACAAACACGCCAATGTATTCGATTACCTCCGTCGCCTTGATGACGCTTACATTCAATGCCCGCTGACAAGCCGTGTGACCAGGTCAATTTGCCGTCGGCTTGGTCGGCGTAATTTACCCTATTTGCGCTCACGGGCCTTGGAGCCAAGTCAACATGCCCTGGATTCGGTCGGTGGCTCATAACATGTATGGATGTCTTAGGCAATGACCTTCCTTTGAAAACGTGCCGCCCTCTATCTGTCCAGCTGTGGCACATGCCAAAGTGACGGATGGAATAAAGCACGGAAGTCTCAAGCGAAGAGCCTTACTCATTGTTTGGGGTCCTGCTCCTGCTGGGGTCACTGTTTGGGGTCCTGCTCCCGCTGGCGCGTTCTCTCGACTCGAGGGATTTGTTATGTTGATATTTTTGTGACAGTCATGGACCACGAGTCGGCGATGCTGCTCACCGCTTCTCCGTAACTCGGTGTGGGCCGTCGACTCGCGTCGCTTGTCGCTTGGCGTTGATATTTTCGAGAACGATGGACGACGAAGTCGTCGGTGATGCTGCTCCCGCGGACGACGTCGTCGTCGGCGATGGCATAGCTGGAACGGATGGCTGGCTCAGGCGTCGGCGCCCTCCAGAGTTTTGCGGGCTTCCGACGCTCTGTTTCGTCTTTGGCATCGTTGGAGGGCCGTGGGCCACCCAGAATGCAGGGGCTGAAGGCGTTCGCTTTGAGGATGGGAGAGATTGGTTGTTCGGCGCTGCTCTGGGCTAGTGGGAGTGACTCCCTTTGCGCGATGCCGAGAGCTTCTCCGGTGATCTCAGACAAATGATTTTGAAAGCGTCGATCGCCACAGTCAGAGTCCGAGCGTGTCACGGTGTGCCTATATACAGAGCGGTCAAGATTTTAGAACGTGCCGAGGCTCGTCCAGGCGTTCTTGACGCCGCGAATCACAACGAGATCCTGGCCCAGCTTCGGGGGCAAATGTGCAGTCACAGATCGTCGGAGGCCGATGCTGATCGCGGGATCTGGGATGACCGTCTTGATCGCGTCACTCGCGAACATGGGCATCTGACCATATACGGCCCTGTGATCTTACGTCCGTCGATGGCGGTGAGTGTGTTGGGGATGGCGTAGATTATTGACAGCTGCGATCTCGTGAGGCAGCGGTTACAGCAAACTCTGGACTCCCGGCCGCACGTTTGACGTCTGAGGCGGTTCCGCCAGATGCACCAGGAGCAAGTGCCCATTCCGGTTATGCCTTCAGCGGAGAACGCACCTGTTGCACGGCGCAATCGTGTCAACGCCTTCTCTTCCCGGCATGGTTGGATGCGAATACGACCATGAGATCGCTCTGGCATGTCGCGAAAGGCGCGGAAGCTTGGAGTAGGCTGTTTTCAGAGAGCGGGCGATTTGACCGTGCTCAGTTGAAGAGTGACTTGGAAGTGATCAGATACAAAACCCTTCGCGCGGCCAGAGTCAGAGCAGACAACTATTCCTTACAGTGAACTGGAATGCTGTTGACGTTTATCTCTATATTATTCGAGCCCACAGGGCAGAGGATGGGAGATGCAAGCTGCTTCGTAAATACTCCTCACGAGAGGCCAATCATTTCTTTCAAGGATGTCCCCGCCCATTCTTGGCATGAGAACGCAGTTGTCAGTTGCCAACCATCCTGTGGTGTTGGGTCCTCGTTTGAAGAGACAGCGCCCCGCGTCCCTCCTTCCATCCCTCCCTCCCGCCTCCTCCTCCTCCTCCGCAGCCATTTTGGCTCAAGATGTTTAGGGCCCGTGGCAGAGCACGGAGACCCCTGGTCCGGGGACAGTTTGGACCGTTGCTTTCCGCACTCGTTGTGGCCGCAACGCTGTGCCTCTCCATGTACTGTGCTGCGAGGAAGCAGCTTGCATTTCACGCGCAATCTGTGCTGGCGGCCGCGGGCCCTGCTTCTTCTCGTGCTGCTGTGACATCGTGGGGCTTCCCGGCGTCGTCGCCACCCCTCCGCGCGCCGCCGCTGCCGAGTCCGATGACAAAAGCAAGGGCAAGGAAAACGTCATGGGGGACCCGTGGGCTTGTGGTGCCCAGAAACTCGCTGCCACTGCCATCCCAGCTCATCAACGGAAGCAACGCCAGGACCTGTTGCAGATCCAAGTCGGCAATGCCGCCGCCGCTTTCGAGACTACCTCCAAGCAAGTGGTCGCTGCCGCGCAGGCTGCGCTTCTGGCCCCCGTCGCGAAGACAACCGAACAGCTCTGCGCCCGCCAGGAGTCCACTGAGCGAGATATTGCTGAACTCAAAGGGCGTGCTGAACGTGCTGAGCGTCTGCAGGGGGACCTACAAGCCAGTGTTGCTGCTCTTCAACAAGCCCTACAACATGCCGAGGCCCTGCGCCCCTCCCTGGACCTGGACGTTGTCGGCTCCTGGGATCGTGCCCCTTCATGCAGCCACCTTCTGGTGCGGGGCCGCCTTCGAATTCTCCGTGGGCGCCCTCAAGTCCGCCTTGTCCGAATGGTTCACCGCCGCCGAGGTGGACATTAACGCGCTGCGCATCAACGCTGGCGGCCCTGCGAAGAGGTTCCCCTTCGCGCTCGCGGGCGACGACGCGGTGGCCATCCCTCGCGCGCAGGCTCTACGCCGCGTTCTTCGGCAAGGTCGCGACTGGCGCCGCTTCCGGATCGAAACCACTGGAGGCGCCATTCCCTTCTTCGTTTCGGCCGACAAGTCGCCGCGCATGGTCCGCCAGGAGGTCCAGCTCAATAAGCTCGACAAGCTCATCCTCGAGAAGCGCCCCGCTCTTGACATTCGCGTCCGCCGCGCTGGCGGATTCCTTTCCATCAATGGCGCCCCCATCGTTCAGGTCACCGCGGGTGCCTCGCCCGATGCTGCCGCCAGGGTTCGCTGGTCTGCCGCCGCCGAGCCCGCAGGCATCCCCGTCTCGGAGCAGGACAACCTGGTGGCCGCGCTGGCGTCCGCGTTCGGCAACCCTCTGGACGCCGCGCAGTGGCTTTAGCCCGAGATGGTCGCCGTGGCTCCTCAAGCCTCAGCGCGATGGCCTCAACACTGTGTCCTGGAACTCGCAAGCGCTACATGGGCGATCAGCATCGCGGCAATAACTGAAACGCATAATGCTCCTGCTGTACATGCGCCAACGCGCGGTCATCGCCATCCAGGAAACCCATGGTAACGACATCGACATGGACCTCTTGGCTTCCAGTGCCGAACACAACTACATCGCATTCCAGTCCGCGCTCATGGTTGACGGCTCCGCCTCTGAAGCTGCTGGTGGAATCGCCTTCCTGATCCCTCTCGATCGCGCCGAGCATCGCCTTCCACCCGAGCAGCGCCCGCCGCGCTCATTTCGTGCGATTGTCCCTGGACGCATTGGAGAACTGCGAGTGAGTGCGTGACAGTTCTAGGCAGTTCGAGACAACCATCTTCAACGTGCACAACTACGAGCTGACGGCAACCGATCGACTGCGATCTGTGAAGCATGGGGGGCCGCTTCTCAACGCTCCGCCTCGGCCCCCGACGCTCACGGCGCCATCAGGATTGGCGGCTTCGACATTGCGGCCGCGCCCCCGAAGCACTTGCTTCGCCCCGCGCCCGACTCCGCCGCCGAGCGCTACCACTATCAACCCGTCTACTGGAATAACTTCTTCTCGCAGATGCTGGAGATCACGACCAAGACCACCACGCGCCGAAGTGGCGCCAACATGACTGAGGCGACCATCGATCGCTGCTTCGTCTCGCTCAACGCTTCAAACACCCCTCACATCGAGGCCCTTCTCGTCGCCGACGGCCGCCCTCTTGACCAAGAGGGGGGGGGGGGGGGGGCGCGACCGCAAGCTTCTACGCCTTCGCCTGCGCCCCCGACGACAGCGGCCTGCCGACGAGCGGGGCATCCCAACGTTCCTCTTCGAGTCCAAGCACTACAAGTTCTACTTCCAGCGTTTCATCGAGCTGGCCGACTCCTCGGTCACCGGCCCCATCTCGAGCTGGAGGACAACGAAGCACACAATGAAGCTGGCGGCGCGCTAGACTCGCGACGCTCTCTCCTCCATCGCCGCCTCCGAGCTCCACTCCGACGAGACCGAGATTATTGCCAAAGCTCGCGCGCTCACACTGCGCAGCATAGCTCGTGCAGTCTGGTTCCAGGACGTCAAGCTTGCCCGACTGCTCCACACCAGGACATGCTCCACTACTTAGACTCGGTTTTCCCTCAGCAGCCACTTCGTCATCTTCCGCTCCCTGATGTTGACGCACTCCAGACTGCAGCTAGTCTCGCGGGTGACTCTGCTCCAGGCCCGGATGGACTTCCATGCCGTGCCTGGGTTCACTTCGACGGCAGCCTCAACGTGCTCCGCGATCTCCTCGCCTCTATGGCGGCAGGCGGTCCCATCTCGTACGACCTGGACTGCGCCAGGATGGTCATGCTCCCCAAGGGCGACGAGCCGCTCGGCAACTACGAGTGCACCCGCAGCCCCGCCTGCCTGCGCCCCTTGGCCATGAAGAACAGCGACGTCAAAATCATCGCTGCCGTTGCTAAGCGCGTCTTGCAACCGGTTGCCTCAGGCACTGGGGAAGAGCAACAGCCTTTCGCCAATGGCCGCCAGCTCTTCAACAACATAGTCAAGGTCGACACCGTCGCGCGCATGGCAAACATCGACGACGACGCCGACAAGTTGATGCCCTGCTTTGCCAGCATGGACATTGCAGCAGCGTTCCCCAGTCTTACTCGCGATTGGCGCTGGGAAACGCTTCGACGCTGGGGCATCCACGGCACATTCCTCCAGCTCCTGCAGTGCTGCTACCGCTCGCCGCTGGCGTTCCTTGAGCTTGGTGGCACTCGCCGTCCTTTTCTTCTGGCTGAGTCTGGGGTGGCCCAAGGCTGTCCACTGAGCGGCGCACTATGGGCCCGCACTTTCGACCCCATCATCAAGGGCATCAAGAGGGAGCTCTCCGCGATCGGGAACGGCCTCCTCACTGCCTGCGCGGACGACCTCGGCATCGCCCTTGCCGCCCTTCGCGATCTTCGTGCTCTTTGCCTTCACCTCCGTGCGGCACGCCTAAACGCTGGACTGCGCCTTCAAGCCAAGAAGTGCGTTCTCGTTCCCGCCCGGTCTCTGCCCGCGCCCGAGATCATCGACACCGCGCGCAACATCTTTGCCGACATCTACGAGCCGCGGAAAGACTTCACAATCAGCAATGAGGCGCGGTACTTTGGCGTCTACATCGGGCCCGGCGCATCTATCGACCGTCAATGGCGTGGCCCCGCCACTACATGGGTGGAAAGGCTCCAGATCCTCGGTGACTCCCGCGCCCCCATCCAGCTGAGCATCAAAATATGCAACGCCGCCGCCGTGACGTGGGTATCGTACGTGGGCCAGCTCTTCCCACCATCCTCCTTCTTCTTGGCCAAGGAGATACATGGCTTGCACGAGCTGATTTGAGCGGCACCTTCGAGCTTCACGAAGATGGGCATCTTGTCTTTCTCCCAGTGGGTCTCCCTCGATGCCGCAGGGCCTCGAGACATATCTCGCTGCTACCTTGTGGCGCGCTGCCACTTTGACCGTCGCTGGTTGGCAGTCCTTACTACGTGGACATCATGAACTCGCCGAGGAACGTCTCCCGGTTAGCCAGGTGATAAGTGGCCAATGGTCAGCTGACTGTTGGACTGACAAGACCTCGATTGCTCAGCGCTTCGACGCCGTCTCCAACGACGAGATGTTCCCGGACGGCTAAGGCTCGATCTTCAAGACCATTGCCCGCTCGGCTGGATCGACGTCAAGTTCCGCATGTACACTCAGTCGCGCCCACACGCAGCACATGGCCAGCAAGCGTACTTTGGGCGGCACCTGCAGGGCGCCCCCAGAGGCGCGGTGGCGCTACGGCCTCGAGCACTACAGCGACAACACATGCCGCTGCTGGTTGTACTATCAGAACAACTGGATCTAGATCGATGAACGATTGTGACAGTATTTGGATTGATGATATAGCTAGTGGTATTATTGGACAGTTTGATAACCGTGGCAATCGTGTTTGGGCTCCCGCATACTGTGGCCAACATAGGTCCCGTTGATTGGTATATTGTTGGTTTGATATCGTCGCGTATCTATCGCCATTCTTACATTATTTCTTTCGATTTCTATATGACAACATATCGTTACCGACAGTTTGGCATTGTGGGTATAAACGTACCCTGGCGGGTCGCCCGCCACTCACGCTTGACATTTTGGGCGACGTCGAGGGCGTGGACGCGCCCAGGCAGGTCGCCCGCCGCAGATATGGTCGCATCAAACATGCCACTTTCTTTTCATGGGATGTCGGAAACACAGAGTACGACATACGCAAAGCATGTTTACTATGACTCTTCTTTGGGTGCCCCTTTTTTAATCACATTGGTCGAGCGGCATCGCATAATTTTCGGGGCTGGAGTGCCTCAGTCATGGCGCTGTAGACACTTTCCTTGATCAATTGGCGTAACAATGATCATGCGACCAAGTTGAGATTGGGCCTGGAGTGCCCCGAGAATGATGCTTCTTCTAGCATGACTTGATCAGTTGTCATCGCAACTTAGCTCAACATACTCTTGAACTCAGAGTTTGGGTTGCTACGCGCCCACGCGACATGAGTTCTTCTGCGCGCGATGAGCTGCGTGCCCGTGGAAACGCCCGCGTTTGTTTCTTCGACGCGGCATCATTCTCCACTTCTTCTATCCCTTGTTCTCCCAACCTCGTCACCCGTGGAAAAGGAGGGTCGCCCAGGTGTGCCGAAGCGTTTTGGGGGGGCGCACCCTGGCCTGGGCCCGCTAAAGGCGGGCAGACTCCCCAAATACCTTTCGTGACATGGTTAGTCCCCCCTTTCTCTCTCTCTTTCTCTCTCTCTCTCTCTCTCTCTCTCTCTCCTAGCCGGGGCAGCCTCGCTTGGAGGTTGCAGGGGATGTAATGATGTATTGAGTGGACCTCACGCTTCTGATCCCGACCCCCGCCTTTGTCTCCCGTGGGCCCGGGGCCCACGTGGAGCGGTCGGGATTCGTGGCTGTGTGTGTGGGGCTTTTAGCGGAAGAGGTCCGCTCTCGACCCGCAAATCAAAAGTGTGTGTGTGTGTGAAGTCCGCTCATATCATCATTCTATCTATATATACTGCTGACGTCTCGGCTCAGATGCTGGAAACAGGTACAGCGCCGCTTGCCCGCGGCGCATGGAAAAAATGGTTCGCTGCTCTTCGGTCGTGAACCTACATGCACAAAAAAACACTTACACCTTTCATCTGTTCATCGTCATCCATCGTCGTCATCCATTATTCGTCGTCATCTCGCCGTGGGATGTTTGGTCTCGTCGCTGCATCGTTTGGTTGTGTCGCGCTTCTTTGCAGCAGCGTTTAGCTGTATTTGTTCGCGCGTCGTCATTCGCGGCAGTTCCACACGTCTTCTTCGAAGGGCCAGTGTGATAAGCGCGCCTGTCGCCCGCCTTCGGGCCGCCCCCCGGGCGTTGACGGCCTCGACCTTCGACTGTCGATGACGCTTGTACAGATGAGAGAGACAGCAGTTATAACGAGGATCTTGATTATGTTAATGGTGATGGCGGGAAGCGGAACACATGAAAATGATCATGTGGTGGCCATGATGTGAATGACGACCGAGAAGGGGATGGACAATGACGAGGAGTGGCGAGGAGGGGGGGGAGGAGGAAACATATGACGGTGAGCATCGTTGTTTTTGATGATGGCGATGGTAATGACGGTGGATCGGTCGAAGATGATGGCGACCCTGCGAGGAGGAAGAGGGGGAGGATGTGGAAGGGAAGGAGGATGATGATGATGAAAAGGGAGAGAAGGAACAGGGTGGCGGTGATGATCGCAATGCACTCGGTGACGAAAGTTGAGATGATGATGGTGGTGTTGCTGATGGTTGTGATCGTGAATATGATATTTTTTGTTGACGAAGATGCGTCAATCTGGTGCGTTGGCGCGTGATATCAAACAACACCTCGTTCGTTTCCACTTCGTTCTCCCCCTGCCCACGCAGCTTAAACCGCACCCGCCCCCTGTGTTAGCAGTGGCGGCCTCTGAAAAATGCCTTTTGTGATGCTCGGTAGATGCCTTGTGGTCTTACTAAGAGCCTCATCAAACAAGGTTGCCTTTGTTGCCTTCGATGCTTGCTTGTGATCTCAAACGCTCTTCGCGTCCTGCGCCCTGTGCACCGCGAAGATCGAGGTCTGGCGACCCAGCCTCGGCCTCCTGCTGCCCCCGCCGAGCCAGCACCGTTGCCACTGCAGCTCGTGATTGCACAGGATTTGCATGAGTTGCTGCAGATGAGCAGGTGCTCATGAATGCATCATTGCGTGGATGTGTTGCGAACCGTAGCCGCCGAGGCTCGAATCTGGAAGTCGCAAGTCGTCCTAGAGCCAGGCGGAAAATCGCGCAATCACAGCTTGAGAGCTCTTTGGCATCATCGTGCCCCCGCCCCCGTCCTCCTCCGCAGCCGCTGGTCGGCCCTGGCCGCTCTGGCCCCTCCGCGACAGGCACGGGCGCCCACGACGATGTCGCAGTCCTCCTCGTCGGCATCCACCAGTGGCCTCCACCGCTCCCGCCGCTCGTCGCTGAGCGAAGAGACCGCCAACAGCGGCCTCCGCCACTGGCCCGCCCACGCGCCGCCGCCGGGCGCCACCGTGGTCGAGACGGATTCGGCCGCGACGACGTCGGAGTGCACCCCGTCGACCCCGGAGTGGGAGGCCTCGGACAGCGACAGCAAGCAGATCAGTCAGCTCGACAACGAGGCTTATCGGACCCACCTCACGCGCACGCAACGGCGCCGGATGCAGCGCCGGCTGGCCAGAGAGGTCGGGTGCTGGCAGAGGCAGCTCCGCCGCAACTGGGGGAGCTGTGGTCCTTGTCCCCCCAGGGGGACTCCTCGGCTTCGACATCCCTCCCGACGGGGTCCCCAACACTCATTAGATTTGTTAGACAAAAAACAGCAATGTTCATGGCACTCTAAGCAGGGGTGTAGGTGGGTGGGTGGGGGGGAATGGGGCGCAGCTCCCCCAGCTTTGGCTGGTCGGAGAAATGTTCTAGGCCCAAAGCGCCCTCCCAGACATCGGAAATCATAATCTTGCAACGCAGTCGACCCGCACAGCAAGTGGGAACAGGTTTCCAAGGTTACCCTTGCATCCTATCCAATAAGCCCCAACTGCGTACGGATACTCGATATCGGAACCCTTCCCTCGTCACCACGGCTGCTTTCATGCCGAATTCTTGGTCAGAGCGCAGCCCAGGAAAGGTCCGGGTCGTAGCGGCATCCAGTATCCGTACCTTTCCCCCCCCCCCGATGCGATGTCTAAATTCCCATTGCCTCAATTTGATTTTGGTCTTTGGGGGCCCCTACCTCCTGGAGCTCCTCCTGAGATTGCTTTTCCGCTCCAGACCGCTTTTTGGCGGCCCCCGAGGCGTACGTCCCCCCCGCGCTCCGAAACAGCGACAACGAAGAGACATGTTTTTTGGTTGTTTTTTTTACAAAGCGCTCGAGATCCGGGACCGCGGGCGCTTGGGAACCCAGGGTTCATCGGGCGGGGATAGGGCGAGGATCGATCCGTTCAAGAGCATTCCGGAGCGCTCTGAGAAGACCGCGGCGCCCGAGACATCTTCCATAGCCGCTGGATCTCAGAGATTATCGTTTTTTCCTCGCCCGATTTTATCCTCGCCCTGGCTTCGTCTTATACCCATCAGATATTTGAGTAAAATTCATCAACTTCCATGGGTCCCAGATTTCGTCCAGGATATTAGGCAGTGTGAACCCCTAGCAGTATGTTGTTGCAGTCTATGTGGTGCAACATGTGTGGTGCAATGTATACGATGCAACTTATGTGATGCAATATAAGCAGTGCGATATATGCGGTGCAATCTATGTGGTACGAGTGTTTTCTGCTCGCAGTGAGTTGTCAATTCCATTGTTCGTGCAATCGTCCCACCCACCCACCCACCCGCAACTTGGTTTGCAAAATGCAGGCGGTGGCGGTTGCGATGAGTGCATGACGTTGGCAAGTGCATCTTTGCGGCCGCGCCAACCCAAGCACTCGCGCGCAGCGGCCAGCTAGTTTGGCGCGACCGACGCGGCAGCGGTGGCGCTGACCGCTGGGCGCATCCGAGCGAGCACTTCAGTGCGAGTCGGCGACTTGGGCGGGCGCGGTATCATGGCGACGTCGAAAACTGTAGACGCGGTGATGATAGTAGCGAGGCTGGTGACGATGTTGACAAAGATGACGGCGCGGCCAATGCGGGCGCCGATGCTGATAACGATGACGACGATGACGGCGTCCTCGCGTCGGTGATGGAGGTTTTGGGAAGAGTTCGACATGCGCGTGCGGCCGACGCGCGAGAATGGCCCGCATAGCATTATTTGACACGGCCCGTGCCCCCCCCCCCCCCCCCTATCACGCGCGCAAAGGCCCCCGAATGGCGTCGGCACGCGGCGCCAGCGGCACGTTTTGCTGAGCAGCCTATGGCTTTTGAAGAGTTCTCAAGAGCGCGAGCGCACGGTTGTTTGAGAACTGCTGTTGCGAAACCATGTGTTTCTATATGTGTTTTGGGCGTTCTGTGTTTGGGATCGTTGCGAAGCCGATGGTTCATGGCGGATTTCGGCACGCGCGCGCGACGACGCGCGCGCGTGCACTTCGCCCCCCCTTTGCGAAGGATTCGCGACCGATTTCGACGCGCGCGCGATGCCCGTTCGGCATCATATTCTGAACACGGTGAAAGTACCAATGGTTTTCTGGAGAATTTACAAGAGCGCGCGCGCGAGCACTTTTTGAAAATCCGCATTTTGTTTTAGGCGCCTCCGCATCGGCGGCCACGGGTCCGACGCGAGTTGCGCGTCGCGCGGGGCGCCCCCGTCCAAGGTCGGGTATTTCGCCGCCCTTCGCGCGGCACCCCGCGGGGATGCAGCGAACTCGTAGCCTGCGCCGAACCGCCCGCGCCCCCGCGACCCAGGGCGACGGAGCCTGCCGTCGAAAACGGCGGCCCCCCCGGCCCGAGAGAGGCAGCGAAGCGATGGCCCTGTGCGCGCGACCAGCGGACAGAAAAACGAGAGCAGGAGAGCGAGAAATATGCACGAGGCAAACAAGTAAACGAGGGGGGCGACGATCCCCGGGGCGAGCTAGCGACGCAAACCCAGTCGGACCGCCGCAGCATGCCGATTCGCTCAGATAATATGGGCAGAGCATGAATCAAGCTTTTTCCCCAAACAGCTTGCTGAACGGGGTGCTGTTGTGATAGAAGCTAATTCCGGCCGAGGGAAAGCTAAGCAGAGACATCCTCAAACAAATGTGGTGGTCCGGCCCGTTTCGCCTGAGACATCCTCACAACTCTCGCTTCTGAGTTGTCCGGGATTGAGCGTTTCGCCTGAGACATCCTCCTAAATCTGAGCTCTGAGAGGCCGCGCGAGAGGTGGTCCGGGCCGTTTCGCTTGAGACATCCTCGAAACTCTGAGCTCCCAGATGCCGCGCGAGAGGTGGTCCGGGCCGTTTCGCCTGAGACATCCTCGCAACTCTGAGCTCCAAGATGCCGCGCGCGAGGTGGTCCGGCCCGTTTCGCCTGAGACATCCTCACAACTCTCGTTTCTGAGTTGTCCGGGATTGAGCGTTTCGCCTGAGACATCCTCCTAAATCTGAGCTCTGAGAGGCCGCGCGAGAGGTGGTCCGGGCCGTTTCGCTTGAGACATCCTCGAAACTCTGAGCTCCCAGATGCCGCGCGAGAGGTGGTCCGGGCCGTTTCGCCTGAGACATCCTCGCAACTCTGAGCTCCAAGATGCCGCGCGCGAGGTGGTCCGGCCCGTTTCGCCTGAGACATCCTCGAAACTCTGATCTCCCCGATGCCGCGCGCGAGGTGGTCCGGCCCGTTTCGCCTGAGACATCCTCGAACTTCTGAGCTCTGAGATGCCCTGCGCGAGGTGGTCCGGCCCGTCTCGCCTGAGAAATCCTTGCAACTCTGAGATCTGAGATGCCGTGCGCAAGGTGGTCCGGCCTGTTTCGCACAAGATATTCTCGCAACTCTGAGCTCTCAGATGCTGCGCAAGAGGTGGTCCAGCCTGGGGGCCCAGAAGGCCACATATTACATATCCTCCATGGGACCCTGCGAGCCTCAGGAGGCCCCAGAGAGGTCCAGGAGGCCGCAGGACGCCCAGGACAGGCCCCAGGGGCCCCCAGGAGATTCCCAGGAGGCCCCAGGAGGCCCTCTATCAGAACGTGTCAAGTTAATACACATCCGGTGTCGATTCGTTGATTTTTCCTGCTCTTGTGCCCCCCCCTCCATTTGGAGAGGCCCAAGCGGCCACAGGTTAGATATCCCCCCTGGGAGCCCCAAGATGCTTCAGGAAACCTCAGGTGGAGTTCAGGAGGCCACAGGAGGCCCAGGAGGAAGCTCCAGGAGGTCCCCAGGAGGCCCAGGAGGCACCAGGAGGCCGCAGGACGCCCAGGACAGGCCCCAGGGGTCTCCAGGAGATTCCCAGGAGGCTCCCAGGAGGCCCCAGGAGGCCGCTTATCAGAACGTGTCAAGTTAATACACATCCGGTGTCGATTCGTTGATTTTTCCTGCTCTTGTGCCCCCCCCCCCTCCATTTGGAGAGGCCCAAACGGCCACAGGTTAGATATCCCCCCTGGGAGCCCCAAGAGGCTTCAGGAAACCCCAGGTGGAGTTCACGAGGCCACAGGAGGCCCAGGAGGAAGCTCCAGGAGGTCCCCAGGAGGCCCCAGGAGGCACCAGGAGGCCCCCGCAACTCGGAGCTCTGAGACGCCGCGCTCGAGGTGGTCCAGCCCGTTTCGCCTGAGACTTCCTCGCAGCACGTTTCGCCCGAGACATCGTCGCAACTCTGGGGTCCGAGATGCCGCGCGCGAGGTGGTCCAGCCCGTTACGCTGGAGACATCCTCGCAATTCTAGGCTCCGAAATGCCGTTCGCGATGAAGAGGAGGTGGAGGAGGAGGAGGAGGAGGAGGAGGAGGAGGAGGAGGAGATGGAAGGGAGAAGGAGGAGGCGGATGATGTGCATGAGGGAGCAGGCAGGAGGAGGGGGAGGTCCCAGAGAGCTTCAGGAGGCCGCAGGACGCCCAGGACAGGCCCCAGGGGTCCGCAGGAGATTCCCAGGAGGCTCCCAGGAGGCCCCAGGAGGCCCTCTATCAGAACGTGTCAAGTTAATACACATCCGGTGTCGATTCGTTGATTTTTCCTGCTCCTGTGGCCCCCCCCTGTATTTGGAGAGGCCCAAACGGCCACAGGTTAGATATCCCCCCTGGGAGCCCCAAGATGCTTCAGGAAACCTCAGGTGGAGTTCAGGAGGCCACAGGAGGCCCGGGAGGAAGCCCCAGGAGGTCCCCAGGAGGCCCCAGGAGGCACCAGGAGGCCCCCGCAACTCGGAGCTCTGAGACGCCGCGCTCGAGGTGGTCCGGCCCGTTTCGCCTGAGACTTCCTCGCAGCACGTTTCGCCCGAGACATCGTCGCAACTCTGGGGTCCGAAATGCCGCGCGCGAGGTGGTCCAGCCCGTTACGCTGGAGACATCCTCGCAACTCTGGGTTCCGAGATGCCTTTCGGGATGAAGAGGAGGTGGACGAGGAGGAGGAGGAGGAGGCATGTTTTAACATGCCATGCCAGCCCGCACTAGGCGGGCACGCAATCGACCTTGGAAACCGCAGTGGGTCTAAAAACCCTGTTTGGGGATACTGCACTCCGGCTATAATTAACGACTCGCGAACATGCGGCGCTCATTGACCCTTCCTCCAACGCGTCTTTGCAAATTCTGCCGGAGGGGGGAGGGGCGTCGCGTTTGCGGCGGGGCGCGCAGGGCAAGGCGACGCCT